TGGCAGGAGCGGTATTCGGCCAGCACATGGCTGGAAGAAAGAACTATAAACCCCGCCCCCCCATGTATGTGTATCCTTCATCAGGTGACCTCAGACCTCAGGTGTACTCCAGACCTGACCTCCGGGTAATGATTGTCCACCATCAGTGACCACGAGGAAGTGAAAGCGATTATTTCACAACCTTCAGACTGGCGGCACATAATGTTTCTGGACAGACGTCGCCGATCTCGTGTCCTCGGCCTGGACGTGCGACCAGACGAGAGATCAGGAACTACAACTCACAACATGCCCCATGCCTCCTATATGGATGGAGCACAGACAAACTTTGCCCCCTGAGGCTCTCCATCTGTCATTGAACTACAACTGCCAGCATGCCCTTCCCATATGGATGGAGGACAGACAATCTCGGTGGCTCTCCAGATGTTGGTGAACTACAATTCCCAGCATGCTCTCCCCATATAGATGGAGGACAGACAGTCTCGGTGGCTCTCCATCTGTCATTGAACTACAACTCTCAAAATGCCCTTCCCATATGGATGGAGGACAGACAAACTTTGCCCCCTGAGGCTCTCCATCTGTCATTGAACTACAACTCACAGCATGCCCTTCCCATATGGATGGAGGACAGACAATCTCTGTGCCTCTCCAGTTGTTGTTGAACTACAACTCCCAGCATGCCCTCCCCATCTGGATAATGTACAGACAGTCTTTGCCCCCGTGCAGCTCTGAACTACAACTCACATCATGCCGTAGTTTGCAGGAGGTGCCCGGTGCGCAGCGTGGCGTCTCGGCCTCGGGAGACTTTCCTGGCACTCGGAATATTTACCTCCCGATATTGACACAGCGACAGGAGAGGAAGAAGCCGGAATTTAACCCCCGACATTCCAGCGTGCCGAGCTCCAGATGTAAACACAGCCAGTACAAGCGCCCGAATCTGTCTTCACATCAGCTTCCATGGGCCAGGGAGGTCTGTATGCAAATGGGTGACTGACAGCCACCCATCAAGGCATTGTGACATTTGCATAACTCCTCCCAACAGTCGGCCTACTACTTGCATTAGGACTGAGGGCTCTAGAGAGGAGTACTGAGGCAGGGGGCCGTGATGTTATCAGGAAGCCATGTACAGCACCCTGCTGGCCCCTCCCACCAGTGATGACCTGCCTGCATTGCATAGAGAAGCGCGGACACCCAGTGATGACATAAGAGATGTCATTAAAAATGTTGATGGGGGAGGGGTAACGTTATGCGCACACTTTAATCGGAAATCGATTTTTTCCCCCCTCATAAAGATAATGGTCACCGTATAACCGGCAGTCACCGGCGTCCCTAAAACAAGCCGGGGACGGGTCGCAGCCACAGCCAGCCCCCCATCAATCAACACACCGGAGCAGCTCTGCCAGGAAACAAACCAATCAAAGAAAACTCTGTTCCTGGTGTGGAGGCCGCCGAGGGCCGGGCCGGAGGACGGGAAGATGCCAAGCGGCCTGAGCGCGGGAAATCAGAGAGTAGAAATCCGGCGTCTGTGCGCGGCTCGTACGTCCCCGATCACCAGACCCGAGGCCGACTCTGCCGAGATTATCGGATCGGTAATGACTTCCTTCTCCCAATAATGGGGGGGAAAGTGTTACGCAATATCACAATGGCGGCTACGGGAACTGCGCAGGGCGTACGATTGTTCCAATAGTCAAGAGGACCAGTCTGTGTCTTTACACTCCTCCATGAATAAATTCCTCACATTTCCTCAGTCTCCACTCCCCCAGTGATCAGTCTGCTGCAGGCAGGAGGAAGCATTTCCTCAGTCTCCCCTCCCCCCAGTGATCAGTCTGCTGCAGGCAGGAGGAAGCATTTCCTCAGTCTCCCCTCCCCCCAGTGATCAGTCTGCTGCAGGCAGGAGGAAGCATTTCCTCAGTCTCCCCTCCCCCCAGTGATCAGTCTGCTGCAGGCAGGAGGAAGCATTTCCTCAGTCTCCCCTCCCCCCAGTGATCAGTCTGCTGCAGGCAGGAGGAAGCATTTCCTCAGTCTCCCCTCCCCCCAGTGATCAGTCTGCTGCAGGCAGGAGGAAGCATTTCCTCAGTCTCCCCTCCCCCCAGTGATCAGTCTGCTGCAGGCAGGAGGAAGCATTTCCTCAGTCTCCCCTCCCCCCAGTGATCAGTCTGCTGCAGGCAGGAGGAAGCATTTCCTCAGTCTCCCCTCCCCCCAGTGATCAGTCTGCTGCAGGCAGGAGGAAGCATTTCCTCAGTCTCCCCTCCCCCCAGTGATCAGTCTGCTGCAGGCAGGAGGAAGCATTTCCTCAGTCTCCCCTCCCCCCAGTGATCAGTCTGCTGCAGGCAGGAGGAAGCATTTCCTCAGTCTCCCCTCCCCCCAGTGATCAGTCTGCTGCAGGCAGGAGGAAGCATTTCCTCAGTCTCCCCTCCCCCCAGTGATCAGACTGCTGCAGGCAGGAGGAAGCATTTCCTCAGACACATCAATGGTTTCAGGTGACTCTAGTGTTATAAATCTCACATTTTTATGACCTGTGTCGGCATTTATTATTTTTCACCAGATTTGGTGAAATTCTTCACCGGGAAAAGTGTGATTTTATCGCTGACTGACGCCGATTCCAGTCCCTATAGCCTGCCGCTGTATTGTCCGCCCGTAGCGTATAGAATGTTGCCATGGACGGCTCGTGTTATTCCGGCCTCGCTGCGTCTGGGGTTTCGGCGGTGAATTCATCGGGGGAAGTGCGGCGGCCTCACACAGGTAGACGGGACACGGGATCCCTCCCCCGGGAACCGGAGACGCCATTACACAACGCGCCGCACAATGGGGATTAAAAGCTTTAGGAGGACAAAAGGAGATTTCTGAGGCCCATTTGCAGCCTCGGCCGACGAGTGCCGCTACTTCTGCTCTCCGCCTCCGATCGGAGGGGACGCATCAATATTGACCGTCGCTCCTTCTATCATTATTATTATACAGGATTTATATAGCGCTTACATTAATCGCCCATTATGCGGTTTATTGGCGTCCGGTGGAAGGAAGGTGTCGTAAAACTGATAACCTATCCCGAGCTGTGAATACCTTATCGGCCTGAAGGGCTGTGACCGATGGCTGGGTTCAAGGTGTCACCGTCCGAGCGGTGTCACCGCCATGTTCCCTTAAAGGGCAACCAGAGGAAAGTTGGCGCTGTGCAGTCACATGACCGTCCTTCAGCCAAAGCAATTGAGCAATCGGAACGCCCTCCTTTCCCATAACCCTCAGGGGGCCGAGTATTGCTAATTCTGCGCCGACGAGAAACTGGAGGCCGGTGGGTCAGAATTGAGGCGACTTACTGTTTCACCCCGATTATGAAGCCAGACGGAGGGGCCCCAGCTACACATGCAGTGCTGGTGTCCTGATGGTTGGGGCTGGGTGGGGGTCCCGGTGTCGGCACTCCACATTGCTGGTGTCCTGATGGTTGGGGGGTCCTGATGTCGGCTCTCCACATTGCTGGTGTCCAGATGGTTGGGGCTGGGTGGGGGTCCCGGTGTCGGCACTCCACATTGCTGGTGTCCTGATGGTTGGGGGGTCCTGATGTCGGCTCTCCACATTGCTGGTGTCCAGATGGTTGGGGCTGGGTGGGGGTCCCGGTGTCGGCACTCCACATTGCTGGTGTCCTGATGGTTGGGGGGTCCTGATGTCGGCTCTCCACATTGCTGGTGTCCAGATGGTTGGGGCTGGGTGGGGGTCCCGGTGTCGGCACTCCACATTGCTGGTGTCCTGATGGTTGGGGGGTCCTGATGTCGGCTCTCCACATTGCTGGTGTCCAGATGGTTGGGGCTGGGTGGGGGTCCCGGTGTCGGCACTCCACATTGCTGGTGTCCTGATGGTTGGGGGGTCCTGATGTCGGCTCTCCACATTGCTGGTGTCCAGATGGTTGGGGCTGGGTGGGGGTCCCGGTGTCGGCACTCCACATTGCTGGTGTCCTGATGGTTGGGGGGTCCTGATGTCGGCTCTCCACATTGCTGGTGTCCAGATGGTTGGGGCTGGGTGGGGGTCCCGGTGTCGGCACTCCACATTGCTGGTGTCCTGATGGTTGGGGGGTCCTGATGTCGGCTCTCCACATTGCTGGTGTCCAGATGGTTGGGGCTGGGTGGGGGTCCCGGTGTCGGCACTCCACATTGCTGGTGTCCTGATGGTTGGGGGGTCCTGATGTCGGCTCTCCACATTGCTGGTGTCCAGATGGTTGGGGCTGGGTGGGGGTCCCGGTGTCGGCACTCCACATTGCTGGTGTCCTGATGGTTGGGGGGTCCTGATGTCGGCTCTCCACATTGCTGGTGTCCAGATGGTTGGGGCTGGGTGGGGGTCCCGGTGTCGGCACTCCACATTGCTGGTGTCCTGATGGTTGGGGGGTCCTGATGTCGGCTCTCCACATTGCTGGTGTCCAGATGGTTGGGGCTGGGTGGGGGTCCCGGTGTCGGCACTCCACATTGCTGGTGTCCTGATGGTTGGGGGGTCCTGATGTCGGCTCTCCACATTGCTGGTGTCCAGATGGTTGGGGCTGGGTGGGGGTCCCGGTGTCGGCACTCCACATTGCTGGTGTCCTGATGGTTGGGGGGTCCTGATGTCGGCTCTCCACATTGCTGGTGTCCAGATGGTTGGGGCTGGGTGGGGGTCCCGGTGTCGGCACTCCACATTGCTGGTGTCCTGATGGTTGGGGGGTCCTGATGTCGGCTCTCCACATTGCTGGTGTCCAGATGGTTGGGGCTGGGTGGGGGTCCCGGTGTCGGCACTCCACATTGCTGGTGTCCTGATGGTTGGGGGGTCCTGATGTCGGCTCTCCACATTGCTGGTGTCCAGATGGTTGGGGCTGGGTGGGGGTCCCGGTGTCGGCACTCCACATTGCTGGTGTCCTGATGGTTGGGGGGTCCTGATGTCGGCTCTCCACATTGCTGGTGTCCTGAAGGTTGGGGCTGGGTGGGGGTCCTGATGTCGGCTCTACACATTGTTGTGACTCACTATGAAGGAATTCAGAGGCCGAGCTCTTATCCAGGCCACTCTGATAAGCAAGCCAAAATGAGGGGGAGGGGGAGGAGGGAGGGAAACTCGGCACTGCTGTACATCACAGCCTTCTACGGAGTACAGGACAGGTGACCACCCGCAGGACAAAATGTCTCCTCTAATGTCACCACCTGATACCCCATAACAGCCAGGGGACACCCCGAGATACTCACCCCCCAACATGACAAATGGGCACCTGAAATACCCAGAGACCATGGCACTAGGCCAACATGATACCATATAACCCCTCACACTAGAAGGGATCCCTAATAACTGACAGAACACCCCAAAAACACAAGACTATCATACCAGATAAACAGGACACCATATAAACCCCTCAACACACACACACACACACACACGCGTTAGGAGGGCTCCCTGATAACATTGACAGGGCACCCCAAAAACCCAAGACTTATCACATCAGAAGACTCTTCACCCTAGGAGGGCTCCCTAATACCATTGACAAGGCACCCCAAAAATCCACAACTATCACACCAGATGAGCATGACACCATATTGTCCATCAAACTAAATGGTCACCTGAAATATCCAGACACTAATGGCACCAGACCAACATGGCATCATATAACCCCTCACACTAGAGGGGCTCCCTAAAAACATTGATGGGGACCCCAAAAACCCATATCACACCAAATGAACAAGATACCATTTAACCAGTTCCAATAGAGGGGCTCCCCAAAACCACATCCCAAAACACCACAGTGAAAGGGAACCCCTAGATGTCCAAGGCCATCACAACCAACATATAACCTGAACCCAGGTTCCCCGTAACACCTGAAACCATCACACCAACCCAACCTGTTACCATATAACCCCTCACTTCAGAGGGGCACCCCAACACTACATCCATCTCATGAGTGCACCACAAGATAGCCCCTCCCACATTACAGGCACCCCAAAATTATATCATAACCCATGACAACAACAGAGCATTG